ATATATATTATATATATATATACTCTCTATATATATATATATATTCATATACATTCCATTGAATGTCACGCGTTGTTTTACATGGTGTTGTTCTATTTATTTACAGATTATGCAGATGTGACTCCGGCTGTGAAGAACGCGAAAGAGCGGCCACAGTTCAAACCCGTACCGGTTGCTGTAGAAAACCCAGAATACATGGACTCCGCTACCAGTGAGTGTTACATGGAATAGAAGGGAATCGAGAGGAATGGGATGGAATGCCATGGAATGGGATGGAATTGAGTAAAATGGGATTGGATTGGGTGGATTGTCATGAAATGGAATGGAATCAAGTGGAAAGTGATGGAATCAATGAAATGAAATGCCATGGACTGGGATGGAACTAATGGAGTAGAATGAGATGTAATGCAGTGCAATGGAGTGGAATTAAGTGGAAAGGAATGGAATGTCATGAAATGGAATGGAATAGAGTAGAATGGGATTACATGGAATGGAATTGAGTGGCAAGGAATGGAATGGAATATAATGGAATGAAATAATATGGAATGGAGTGGAATGGAGTGGAAATGGATGGAATGGAATAGAATGGAATGGATTAGTTTGGAGTAGAGCAAAATAGAATAGAATTGAATGGAATAGAATGGAATAGTGATGATCACCCATATTCAAGATGGCGTCCGTATTTTCCGTTCTCCCAGATCAAGAGGAAGCCGAGCGATTGCGGGCGACAGGTGGCAGCACCAGTTCGGAGGCGTCGGCTGCCGACCACGCCTACTACAACGACTTCGACAGCATGCAGAAGCGAGACCGGCGCCTGATCAAACCTCTCACTAAGAACGAGACGTCCGTGTGAGCTGTCGGCGCTCGTCTAACCCCCCCCCCCCGCCGCGCCATCGCCGGCCCTGCCACGCGGAGCGCTAGACTGACGCCTGTCTCGTGCACGGTGCCATGACGAGGTGGCTGCAATGTAGTCCGGCACCCATCTAGCTCGTCGTTCGGACACCGCAGTTGCCAAGTATGTGTATAAGTATGTATGCGTATGTATGTGTATGATACAATATCTCGTATTTACAGTTGCTACACTATCCTGCCACGCTGCCAGCTTCCTCTATCTGCACGTGGCCCACACGTGACCCACACGTGACCTCCGCATCCATCGCAGACTATACAGTTAGTCTGCCGCCACGCAGCTGCGTTAATGAATAGCAGCCGACCCACGGCTGACGGGAACCCATCTAATGATATGCTGCCAGCGTTGAGTGCTTGATGCTTTACTTTAACAGCATGGAACCTCTGCATTGCACGTTACACGGCTTTAATGGAACGTTAACACGTACTGCACGTTGTCATTGGCAACATGGAATGTTTACATCGCATGTTATTAACATTAGTAACACTGAACTTTTACATTGCATGTTACACGGCTTTAACAACATGGAACGTTAACATATCGCATGTTACTCAGCTTTGCCGACACGGAACTTTTACATCACATGTCGCGAGCGAAACTTTTACATCACGCAATTCTCTCCATCAGCATTCCACATGGGCATGGAACCGCGGTCACGCGACACGTTACCCCAGAATTCATCATTACCACGGAACACTTACGTCTCGCATCGCTCGTGACATGGAACACGGGATCGTGACACGGAACCTGTAGAACAACATTGTCAGTCACGTGGTTTCCATGCTGCGTACGTAACACCCCATGTTTTTACTGCCTGTATTAATATCATTGTGAATAGATTAGGAATGATCATCGCCAGTAGCTGGCGCCACTGTTCAATATATTGTTACTCACTGTAATGGTCGTGTGGGTATTTTGGGGCATAGTATATGTATATATATATATATATATATATATATATATATGTATATGTATGTATATGTGTATATATATCTTGTCATCTTGTATTTGTGCCACGTTATTATGATCTAGTGTCAACCGTTTGTGGCCTGCTATGGCAATGCAACATGGCAAAACTCAGCGCTAACATTGTAATATTACAGCTGATGTTTTTGTTGCCATGGCAATCGTAGGTTATTGTGCCATTGATTCAAGTTTTCCGTCGCATGTTTTGTTTGAGATTATTCGATCGCGATGTCGCCCGGTTCTAGAGGGAGCCACGTGTTGTAAATAGTGACGTTGACGATGGGGAGTGGTGTTCTACTAGCCTCGAATCGCGCGGACATCGATGGTGCTGCCATCTCGTGTAGCCATTTTTAAATATCTAATTCATCTATTGTAATTAAGGAGACACAAGTCTGTTTAGCATATAATCATATAAATCAGTGTGGTCGCGTCGGTTTAATTTGAAGACAATAATTATTAAATAATCAATCATCGATTTCACGTTCGATCGGAGTGAGCCATGTATGTACGTCTAACTTGTCCAGCACGCACATGCGCAGAACATGCCATTACCGTGCAATAAATAGGCAGACCCCGTGTTCCCGCGGGGCCGTAGTTAACTCACTTTTCCCTGGAGGAGGGGTGGGAGAGTAAAGGGTAAGGGGCGTTCAGAATGAGCGTGGTACACCGTTCCATTTCGGATTTAGAAATCGAGGAATTTTATAGTAAATCAAGTAAATCCTCATTCGAATGGCACAAAAATATTTCGGGAGAGTCCCGTGTGTAGGTATAGAGGCAGTAGATTGTGGCAAAACAGAGAATATCGTCTGCCTCCATCTACACATAACCTCGTAACGTCATAAATATTAGTCTTCAAAGTCTCTGGGACTCTAACGAAGACGGAAAGAAACCCTGAACCTAGTAGTGTGTTGCTCATCCCACCTTTCTATCCCTCCTGCCCCGTACGTGTGTATGCCGCGAGACTATGCTATCGACAATGTTGTTACTTTAATGACTGATTGAAATGCAAATTATTGTGATTTGAACGTCCATGTATATTACGAGCCACGCGACTAGTGTAACGTGATGTACATACATCCCCCCTCATAACAGACATCCCCCCTCATAACAGACATCCCCCTGGTATGTTACGCATGACCAATACAGGTCAAATCCCGATACGCCATGTGTCCTGCTATAGACACGATCATGACCTATGGGGGGAAGGTTTAACATAGGAGGGATGTTTATGACGCTATACAGGAGCAGGCTGCGCATGCGCGGTAATCTATCGTCGCTAATGACGCGCGTGTATCTATTGTACAGTGTAAGCGTATTTATCCGTGACGCCCCGCCGAATTCTAGCAACATTTTGTACAAAAAAAACATTATTTTTCTTTCTCGTGTAAATGCACGCATAGTTCCTATTTCGCGTTGTAAGAAGATGCATGTATATCGTCTGCACGCTCTGTCTATATCTGCCCTGTACAGATGATGTTCAGTCGCGACAGAATTTTGTAAACTAAAGAACGTTTATATTAATATAATAAAACTACGTACTATATGAAAAAAAAACTCTGGCATTTATTGTACGGATATGTCGTGTGCGATTTCGAAGACGTTTGTACAAAGATCTTTTGAACACGCTCGTGTTAATTAGGGTTTGTACTTTACTCTACTCTACTTGTACTTACTTAATCTCTGTACTGGATGTAGATGTGCCCTCCGGCACCCGTGCCCTATGTAAGGAGAGCTCACTGGGCTGTATACAGTAACATATACATGCTATTATATATACTGTAACTGAGTACCTAGCAGTAATAATGCACCAAATAGAGTCAACCATCACGAAAAACCAAGAAAATACCAATAATATCTTTTCATTTAATATCTTGTATTCTATCTATTTCTATCTATCTATATCTGACAAGTCTGTCTACATACATACATACATACATACATACATACATACATACATACATACATACATACATACATACATACATACATACATACATACATACATACATACCAAGAGTAGATAAATAACATTATTTTATTTATTAGATAATTATTTTATATTTATATAATTATTTATAATTATATAATTATATATAATATATATAT